CATTTCTTGCTCTTCCAAATTCTCCGCTCTCCAACTATTCTCGTACACTAGCCGTTTTAAATCACTCCAAAAGTTTTCAATTGGTCTTGCTTCTGGAACGTTAGCTGGGTTTATATCTTTGTGTACAACTTTGATTTTTTTCAATTTTAAAAAGTCGATGGCCGACTTTGCGTAATGCGATCGAGCTAGGTAAGGCCAGAAGATAAACTCATTGTCTTTTTTATAATATTCTGATACTAGAGAAAGTAAAGTTTTTTCTAGTATTTCTTTATAAGTGTAATGGTTGATTGCCTGCTTATTGTGATGAATATAAAGAGGGCTTATTCCACGGGGGCTGATGCAACAAGAAACTAAGAGCTTGTCCTCGTACTTTTTACGCAAATTATATCTTAATTCGTCAGAACATTGAAAAGGATCAGCGGCATAAAACCTATCATTACCAGCTAATGTGCTATTGTTTAAGGTAAAATAGCTTTCATCATCCATAACAAAATCCAAGTTTTTATAATTTTCGTTCAATTTACGACGTTTAGGACGCGTAGCTTTCTTCTGCTGATCGCTACGAACTGGACGACTTGTTTTTTTGAAAGTTCGAATGTTAGTCAATATTTTTAATACTTGGGAAATTCGAGTTTGACTACAGTTAAAAACTTGAGCTACTTTCTTTTAGGAGCACCCTGACTTATTTTCAAAAAATGCAGCAATCTTTGGAATATTTTCTTTAGTAGGTACCTTAGCGATTACTTTCAACTTTTCTTTTTAGAGATCCATTCTCCAATTTTACGATTTTATCGTAGGCAGTTGATCTGGGTAAACCCCATTCCATAAACTGCTTAGCAACAAACGCTTTACCTTTTTCTCGATTTTTTTGGAAACAAATTTTTAGAGTGAAACTTAGTATCACTCTAAAAAATTTTTTTAATACCATGTTATTTTATTCTACTTTTTTAATTAGGTTTAAAAACCTGTAAATCGTTTAAACTTTCGCCTAGTTATATAAAATAAATTATTATTAATGTTTTGTAACCATTTTTTAAATGTTGTTCAGACATTTTGTCATTCCATTTAATTTATTATATTATGCACCAAAATTTAGAAATTTTCTCAATCACTGCAGTTGATGCCTCCCAGGGAGGCATCAACTGCAGTGATTAGGATAATGATAATAATAGAGAGGCTCCCTAATTGTCAATCTTTTCTTTTAATGAACATCCTGTTAATAATAATGAAAATTCTGTTTATACAATAAATCTTATAATCAATTAAAGTAAAAAGATTGTTAAAAATGTTATAATAACATTTTTTAGCTTTTTTTAATTTTTTTTTTTTTTAATTCAGTCAACGAGTTGATTTTCCTAAGTTCTTATGGTAGATGATTATAGACTTGCACCTGAGTAATAGGAAAAACTTTTAGCAAACTCAAGTTGGATTTTAGGAATTTTAGTTAAGTTGCTATTATTTTTTGTTGCTTTTGAATGGTTTACAACATCAAAGTAGTTAATAAAGTTTGAACATGATAAACTAAGAATGCTAAGAATTAAAGCATTCTTAGTTTATCATGTTCAAACTTTCAAACTTAAGAAAATCAACTCGTTGACTGAATTTAAAAAAAAAAAATTAAAAAAAGCTGAAAAATGTTATTATAACATTTTTAACAATCTTTTAACTTTA